TGGGGGAGAGGCAGAAGGAGAGAGAGAAGCAGACTTCTTGCTGAGCAGGGAGCCCAGGGCATTGTGGGGCTCAATCCCAGGGCTCTGGGATCATGACCTGAGCCAAAGGCGGCCGCTTAACTGACTGAGCCACCCAGGCACCCCCAAAACTTGTTCATTTTCTTAACGTACCACATCCAAAGTAGATGTATTCTTGCTCAGGTAGATTGAGTTGAGTTTAGTGTAAAAGGTTGGGATTATGCAGAGGAGGCGAATCTCAGCTTTAATGGGGACAGCAAAGAGTAGAGTAGGGAAGAGAGGAAGGCTATGTACTCCTCACCTTGTGTCTTCCTACCTAGTTCTCATGGTAATAGCTATAGCCCTTCTGTTTTGATGCTACTGGTAATAGGAGGTATCAGGCCTCTTCTCTTCCCAATGTTAACAGCTCCACTGATCTGGTCAAATTGGAAACAAACCAAAGACTCCGAAGTGAATCACCCTAGTTCCATTCACCATATGTCAGTGTGTCTTCCCTGAACTTTATTTATTTATTTATTTTTAAAAAAGATTTTATTTATTTATTTGACAGAGAGAGACACAGCGACAGAGGGAACACAAGCAGGGGGAATGGGAGAGGGAGAAGCAGGCTTCCCGCTGAGCAGGGAGCCCGATGCGGGGCTCGATCCCAGGACTCTGGGATCATGGCCTGAGCCGAAGGCAGACACTTGACGACTGAGCCACCCAGGCGCCTCTTCCCTGAACTTTAAAAGGATGAATTCTCTTTATCATTATCATTATCAAGCCAGATTACCCCAAAATTCTAGCATTGCCTCTCATTATTTACCAATGCCCAGGAATTCTGAACCATTGAGCTGATTCCCAGTATGTGCCTGTACTTTTCTTTATGCTGTTCCCTGCGTACACCATCCTTCCCAATCTAAACCTATCAGACTATCAAGTTATACTCCAAAATTCATATTTATATATATTACTGCAACCTCCCCTAAAAACTGGGTAAACCACTATGTATTGACCATTGTCACCAAAACGATAGACATTTCTTTGGCAGCCACCTTACCAAAACTAAGTATAGTCATTTATATCCATACTATAATACAATTGTATTACACACATACATGGCCTTGATCTAAGTTGATCTACATCATAATTCCTGTGTATCTTCTGTATAAAAAAGAACAAGGAAAATGTCTGTAATTATTTATATTTCATTATTAATCATGTTTATAAAACATTTTACAAACATTTTTAACTCACACTTCCAAGGTAGATTTACTATGGTACCCAAAGTTATTTTATAGCATGCCATTAATAGTACATAGTAACACATTTAGAAGGTTATTATTTTGTTTTACAATATGATTTGTACACTCAAATTGAGCTTCAGTGCTCAATGGGCTGATAAAATAGCAATTCCTCACAGCATTAAGCATAAACATTATGAATGGAATGGGTTTAATTGTTACTGTTCTTTCATGCAAGTCCAAAACATAAAAACAATCTTATGACGTTGGGGCTATTTACAGTACATTAAGCATCAGGTCAATTTTAAAGATTAAAGAGGGTATAGAAAGAAGAAAAAAGTTATTGCCTATTTCTTAGAATTTCTATTCTCTGCTGATTGTAACAACTAGTAAAGTTTAGAAAAATCCATTTTGTAAGCTCTGATATTATCTGTACTAATAAAAAAGTAAACAGTATGAAAAATGCTTTCCAAAAGGCTTTCAGCTTATATACCTTTAGGATACTCACATTGTGAGGGGAGGGGGGAAGAGAGGGAGAGGAAAAGTGAGAAGCCTGGAGAGAGGCTAAAGTAGAAATTGTGATTTCAACATAATGGCAGGTCATTTGAATGGCATGGACATCTAACTCTGGATTTTAAGTTATCTGTAGAATTGTGATGTAAACCCCATTCATCTCGTAAAACTTTAAAACACAAAGGCTTTGTGTGAGTATTTCTCCCTCGGTAGAAATCAGAAAGTGATGCCAAATGTCGTGGCTCAGAACAGGGACGGGGTTTCTTAAGAAGGGGCCTCCATAATCTTAACCAATTAATTCAGAGGAAGTCAAAGCTTGGACTGCAGGTAACCATGAGAAGACAAACCCTTTGAGATATCACAGACACCTTGGATATTGAATAGAATGTGGAGAGGATGTTTTACCCAATCTTACTGTTAGAGTTAAGGTGATGGTGCTGACATCTGCAGTTCGTGTAGATTAATACCTGTTTTCACATATGAAAAGAATGACATCTCGGGAATTCAATGAAGATGTGATGTTCTTTCCCTTTCTTGTAGTCATTCTCATAGGTTTCATATTCTAACTCCAGTGATTCTTTGGTGTGTAAGACATGTATTCTCTTTTTCACCCACTTGCCACTTGCCTTAGCTGGGAACGGGCAAAGATTAGTAGTCCTGGGAGCTACTCTTTTTTTTTTTTAATTTAAATTTTAGGTAGTTAACATACAGTGCAATATTGGTTTCTGGAGTAGAATTCAGTGATTCATCACTTACATAGAACACCCACAGACATATAGGCACTCACCATCTAACTAAGCCTTAACACTCCTGCTGGAAAAAGACACTAAAGTTTAGAGTTGAGAAAGGAGAATTCAAATTTAAGAATAGCATTAAATTATATTGTTGTAATTAAGTATTTTGAAAATCAATGAAAGTAGAGAATGACAAATCAGAGAAGATCTTCAAAAGATGCTTTATGAGAGCACTTCTTCATGTTTGGAAGGAGACCAGAGCTATGGAGTGTAAAGTTGCAAATTTCTCCCTAGAGCTCTTTCTTTTTGACCATTTCTATTTTTTAAAATTACAAAAGTGTGAAAAAATTTAAAACCATGCAGAAATACGTAGAATAAAGAATGAAAGTGCTCCTTCATCTGTCCCCTTTCCTCCAAGAACACTTTTCTCCCTGGAAGTACCCATTGTTAACAGTCTGGTCTATTTCCTCTCAAACCTCTTCTGTATATTCCTGAGTATACTCACACACTCATACCTATCCCTAAATTGTGGCAAGTGTGTAAAGAAACAAAAGAGATTTTAAATATATTTTTAAGATTAAATTTCCTTAGGGCGCCTGGGTGGCTCAGATGGTTGAGCGTCTGCCTTCGGCTCAGGTCATGATCTCAGGGTCCTGGGATCGAGTCCCGCATCGGGCTCTCTGCTCCTTGGGAGCCTGCTTCTCCCTCTGCCTCTCTCTCTCTCTCATGAATAAATAAATAAAATCTTTTTAAAAAAAAAAAGATTAAATTTCCTTATATATTTAGATAGTTCTGTAATGTAGGTATGGGATCAAGGGGTAGATGATATCAACATGACATTACCCATAATGCCGGCCTTGATCACCTGGCTAAGGTGGGGTCTGCACCAGGTTTCTCCACCATCAAGTCACTATTTTCTCTTTCCCTGCTCAATTTTTGGAAGTCACTAAGTCCAGCGTACACCTAAAGGGAGGAAGATTAGGCTCCATATCGTGGAGGTGAAAATATCTACATTTATTATTTGGAATTCTGTAAGAAAGATTTTCCCTTTTCTTCCATGTATTTATTTTTTCAATCATTTACTCATGTCAGTATGAACTCATGGATATTTAACTTACACTTTGAGTTATAATACAGTACTATAGTTATTTATTTTGTTACTCAGATTCAAATGCTTTTACACTCACTCACTTATTTAGTCACTAACGTACTCCAGAGGCATATGTGAAAGAGGAGCAAGCATAATAGGATTCTATTTATGTTTTGGGCTTCTTACTCATTCCTCTCTCACTGAGTCACTGGTTTTTAATGTCAGCCTTCTGATGAAATGAGAGTCAGGTGGATGATGAGCAGTATATGAAGCACAGTCTAAGCTCAGGGGAGGTGGAATTGGGGTAAGTGGTTGAAGCTCTATCTGCGCCTCACCAGCCCACACAAAACACCTATTACAGATGATATTAGTGATTTTTTGACTCTTCAGTATTGTTCATTCCTGATCAAAAGTCCCAGAAACAACTTAACCGGGTTCCTGGAATAAACTGGGACTAGTTTATCAAAGCTTCCTCTCTCAGGGGCTGGACCCAAGTAACCAGTGAGCTAAATGATTTTACCAGTTTGTATGAAAATGAAAAATAAGTTGAATTGACTAAAAAAGAATCTGCAAGTTTTAGTAAAAAATACCACGTTTCTTTAATTAGATTAATTATAATTTCTATTATAAAAGATTTATTTATTTATTTATTTATTTATTTATTTATTTATTTATTTATTTATTTGACAGAGCACAAGCAGGGGGAATGGCAGGCAGAGCAGGCAGAGGGAGAAGCAGGCTCCTGGCCAAGCAAGGAGCCTGATGCAGACTCAATCCCAGAACCCCAGGATCATGACCTGAGGGGAAGGCAGGTGCTTAGCCGACTGAGCCACCCAGTCGTCCCTATTGTAAAAGAATTTTGGAAAAGAAGCATATTTTATCATTTGATCATTTCAGGCAGAACCCAGGTTACAAACAGCAGGGATTTATTTATTTACTGACTATTAAATCTTCTCTAAAATGATTCCAGAGAGGCAATCAGGTAAGAGATACAGATAAACAGATAACACATTTTATTAAGAAAACTTAAAATTCGAGGTGCTTGGCTGGCTCAGTCGGTAGACCATGCGAATCTTTTTTTTTTTTTAAGATTTTATTTATTCATTTGAGAGAGAGAGAGAACACAGGCAGGTGGAGCAGCAGAGGGAGAGGGAGAGGCAGGCTCCCCACTGAGCAGAAAGCCCAATGTGGGCCTCCATCCCAGGACCCTGGGATAATGACCCGAGCCAAAGGCAAATGCTTTACTGACTGAGCCACGCAGGCACCTGACCATGCAAATCTTGATCTTGGGGTTGTGAGTTCAAGCCCCACGTTAGGCATAGAGATTACTTTTTTTTTTAAAATAAGCATTTGTCTTTAATTTCTGTTTGTTTTTAAGAAATAAATGGCAAAATATATACACTGTGGAGTCTGAATCCCCAATCACAGAGTGTGAATAATGGTCTGATTGCGGAGCTCCTGAAAATACTCCTTGTTGTGGGTGATGGCCGCCTTTGGTGCCTCACGTGGAGGTGGGGGGGGCCTTCCACCAACTTCACAAAACAATAGCAAAAAACCTTCTCCATGATCCCAAAGCAACCTCTGCCATGGTATTGTACGCATTTCAGGTACTGGCCTCGCCCTGAGGTCGACTCAGCTATATATAAATTGGATCTGAATTCCACATTGTTGTCTCTCACTTCCATATCTTGTGCTTCTAAGAGAATCTCTTTAATTATTTGGGCCCCCTTTTTGTCACTGAATTCCAGTTGAGCCAAAGCCTGGTCAATGGACATTCCTCGTAGCAATTTTGCCAAATACCACATCTTATCTTTGCTGTATTTTATTTGCCTTCGACAATGGTAGATTTCTGCTGGTGTCCGAGGTTCTCCAGGCAATTGTGGAGGATAAACAATTTTATTCTTCTTTTCCTATCTTTGAGAAATGTCGGGAGACCCACTCGTGTGGATATGTGATTGGGGTAAAACATTATGAGATGAAAGAAGCCCTACGGCCAGCTTCCCCTTCAGATTCTGCATCCATAATGCACCCATATGTTCCAGTATTGCTGCTGCCATCTTTCTCCCTTCCTCTAGGCATAGAGATTACTTAATAAGAAAAATTAAAAAGAAAGCAAAATTCAAGTTTGCCCTCTATTTATGTTTTAGGGAACAGCTTTTTTTTTTCTTGGAGTTCCTTCCTTCTGGAAATCTCAGCAGACTTCTAGGACTACAGGACCTAGTCCTCTTAAAGACAATTGCTGTCAAAACCAATAATGGTAACCCACTGTTGCCATCAATCATCTTAATGGCCCCTTTGCATTGGGATGTGGGCAGGCAAATATCTTCCTGGTCATTAGTTCATGTTATCACTTCATTGGCCTGGTTTTGCTTCTCTCTTTCTTGAAAGTGACAGTGAAGTTTTATTATTCTGCTTTTACAGTGATGTAAAAGAGCTCTCGCAGGAGGCAACCACTCTCACACCCTTCTCTTTCATCCTTATAACGCGTACTATTGCAATGCAGGCCAGAGCTGTGGTATTTGCATAGAGTGGGTGGGGAAATAAGGTGCGGCAGACATTGTCCGGAGTGTGAACAGGGTGGTACCACCAATGTGCTCAGTGCACCAGGCTTACACATTGACTGAGACATCACATTCTGCAGCACTGTCAGTTCAGCTCCGGCCCAGATCTCCTAACTCTGCAAGAATAGAGGGTAAGCATGGAGAGGCATGGTTTTTCATCAAGGTCAAGAACTTTAAATCTAGGCAAATCTGGATTCTAATAATAGTAATAGTTCATACTTTTAGAGGTCTTTTAATATGCCAGGCATTGTTCTGAGTGCTTTAGGTACTAACTTATTTGAACCTTACAACCTCCCAGTAAGGTATGCATTATTAGAGTCCCTTCCTTCCAGAGGCCCACTGAAGCACAGAGAGGTAAAGGAACTTGCTGAAGGTCACACAGGTAGTGTGCTGTGGAATTCAAGATTTGAACCCAGATAGCTTGGCTCCTGATTCTGTGCTTTTATCCATTATTAAACACTTCCACATACTAGGCATGTACCCTCCCTTGGGTAAGTTATTGAATGTCACTGAGTCTCATGTTCTCATTCTTATAGTACTTATCTCAGAATTGGTGGGAGGAAAATGCCTAGCACAATACCTAGCACGGTTTTCTCTCTGTGGATGTTATTTTTCACCACCAGGCGGGTTCTTGTCAGCTCATTCTACACTGTGGGCCTGGGTGGAGGACTTGGGTATTTATTTAAGGATTAATTAAGAGAGATAGCGGAGCTTTATAGTTAGTTTTTCTTGTCTCCTACTTCAGAATGTAAGATAAAGGGATAATAGAGAATGTGAGCCCACATTCTCACAGACCCATACTTAAAAAGTAATGATTTCAGAAGATGACTAATTTCAGCCACTTTTGTCTTGAGTAACACCAATTTCACTTCAATTTGGATGTATTGTTGAACTAATTCCCCAAAGGAGTTCATGATGAATATTATAGGAATTTATAAATTACATATTGGGCACTACTCTAAAAGCACTTTTCTGGAAGCAGAAATCTACCCAAACTATGGTAGTTGGAATAGAGATCAAAGAATTGCTTTCTTTTGCCATTTACAAACAGTTCCTGTATTATGACTCCATTTATATGAAATGTCCAGTATAAGTGAATCCGGCAAGACCAAAAGTAGATAAGTATAGCCAGAGCCTGGGGAAAGGGTGGAAGTGACTGATAGTGGGTGTGTGGTTTTCTTTTGGGCTAACAAAAATGTTGTGGCATTAGATAATGGTGATGATCGCACAATTCTCTGCATGGGCAAATTTTACAGTATGTGAATATCTCAAAAATGCTGTTATAAAACAAAACTGTTCGGGGCGCCTGGCTGGCTCAGTCAGTAAAGCAAGTGACTCTTAATCTTAGGATCCTGATTTCAAGCCCCACGTTGGGTGTGGAGCCTACTTAAAAAACAAACAAAGCAAAACAAAACTGCTCATCTGAATGTTGTCTCTTGTGCCATCAGTGGTGTCCAGAGGGAGGAAGGCACGGGCCAGGAGGATATTTTACAGGTGTCTGCTGCTCATTTTAGCAGTGATGGATGGATATTACCCCAGGCAGCACTATAGGATGTAGGACTATTACTACATTTTTCAGGTCGAGTAACCATGAGAGGCTATTTGGGATGACCAAATTCTCTATAGGTACCCTGAACCAAATCCCTATCCTTTTGCTACCCTAAGCAGGGGTCTAATCACCCGAGCTATTGTGAAAGTGACCAGATATGCCCAAACCTCTTGGCATACTATGATTTACATGATGCATATCACATAGCAGGTAATAAATCTTTGATGAATGAGTAAATGAGAGATTGAGACTCCCCAAGGATCCTCTGGGTTGGAGTAAACTTTCTGAACCGATATAGTGCTTTCTAATTTTTTTTACACCCTGGACAGCTGCTCAGTAACCCCAAATATGTTGATGCAACATTTTTATAGTGATAATTCAAATGCAATGAATTGTGTTAATATTAAATTTTTAAAAAGCTTTTAGAATACAAAAGCAATGCCCTTCCCCGCCCCCTCCTCACCACACAGGCATTACTTAGTTTTTTAAATTAAGGAGGTTGGGGGGAGGGGGGTGCGGCATGGTGGGGGGGAGCGAGGAGGAGGGGGTTTGTATGCTCTTAATTTTTCTCTAGAACAATAGCGACACCCTGTGGCAAATTCTTGTAATAGACTGTTTTAAATCGAGTGGGTATAGATTTCCTACTTGAGGGCCAGAAGTACTGCTAACCAAATTAATCAGACTTCAGATTAAATGAGAATTTATTGAGTGCCTACTATGCACAGGAACTATGCTAGATATTATTTATTTATTATTTTATATGTCTCCCAGATGACCAGGTACTAAACTAATTATACCTATGTCATAAAGCAGCAGTGGCATTCAGAATACCTAAAATTGTATGCAAAATGTGTTTATGTGTGTTTCTAGAGAAATGGGCCCTTAGCTTCCACAACACTTGACACTGCTACCTTAGAGCATGTTTCTTTCTTTTTTTTTTCAAGGTTTTATTTATTTGAGAGAAAGAGAGAGTGAGCCAGGGGAAAGACGCAAGCTGGTGTGTGTGGGGGGGTGGGGGTGGAGAGGGAGAGAGAGAGAAGCAGGCTCCCCGCTGAGCAGGGAGCACAATGCGGGGCTCAATCCCAGAACCCTGGGATCATGACCTGAGTGGAAGGCAGACGGTTAACCGACTGAGCCACCCAGGCACTCTAGAGTACATTCTTTTTTT